CGTCCGGAACAGTCACCCAGAAGCAAGAACCATCAGCGTTTTTCTTGGGCCTGAGGTCGGGCTTGGTCCCTTTTGAGCAGCAAAGTGCTTTTCCCGTAGCCAAAGTTTTGCAGAACTCATCTGAGCCGCCGTTGAACTTGTACAGTTGCGCGGGCTCGATTGCGGGTTGGCAGCGCTCCGTGGCAAACTTCCAACAGTCATCGCCATCGCGGACTCGAAGATATTTGCACGTTCCGTTAGCATTGCCTGGGGGGTCCATGTCGGGCATGGTGCCTGTCGTGCAACAGACAGGATCGCCGAGCTGATGATTTGCAAACACATGCGATTAGAAACCGAACCCAAGCCCGTGCTCTAGAAGGGAGGCGTCTCTTACCTTCAAGTTGCTGCATTTCGCCTCTAGTCCGGAGTTGAATTTGTACAGATCGCTGAGACTGATTTTCGGGTTGCAGCGTTCTTGGGCGATCTTCGTACAGGTATCACCAGACTGGATCTTGTATGCCGTGCACTCCGCCCGTGCCTCCAGAAAACTGCCGCTGGGGTGGGCTAGAGTTCCAGGGCATAGCGCCAGAAGAGCGAGAGCCACTCCAGCCGCAGCTTGTTGGGTTCTCATGTTTGACAAAAAAAAAAAGAAAGAAAAAATGAATGAACGGGTGCCGACAGACACGAAGGCAGGAGCAAACGAGAGACAGCCGGGTGCGATCTGATGAGATAGGGAAAGTACGTTCTTGGTGTTGAAGATGCGGGCCAAGCTCTTAAGAGGCTCCCGTCACTTGCAGTGATCATGGCATGCCCGGGAGCCTTTGTGCCTGAGGGAACGGAGCAGGGGATGGGACCGTTGCATTCAGGTGCTACTCAGCCTGACCCGCCCTTAGGCCGCCCAGATATATTGACTCCATTGTGTTCGTGACAAATCAAGTTATTGTGAAAGTTCGTGATCCCCACGACATGGGAACATCAACCCAGTCTCGCTGTCAGATCAAGGTTGCCTGGTAATGTCAAATGCCGGTCCAATAATATCTGGCGTGGCCGTGCATGGAAGCGCGGGCAAACCTGAGGCTTGATTTCGCCTTGACAATTTGCGGCCTCTGTCTTGAGCCATCCTGCAGGAATAAGCGGAATGAGAGAGCAGGAAACGGCGAAATTTCTGGCTGATCGCAAAGGTGCTCACTGCGACCCTGACAGGTCTTGGCAAAGGCCTGCTGCATGCCAAGAGGTCTGCCTGAGCTCGTCGGTAAGGTACCTTTGGCTAAAATGCAACACTCTCGGGGTGCGGCGCAGTGTTGTTTAGCGATAAGAGCGTATAGCACGGGAACTTCAATTTCAGTGCGAGGCGTAGCCGGGCTCGCTATTACTGTGAAGCGTGGGTGGTGCATCCTGAGGGAATCGCAATCACGGCCATACCACGGACGGTCAGTGGGCTGTCTGAATATTGATGACGCCGTTCAGGGTGAGGCAAATACGCCTAGGGTGACTTGTAATCTGGTGACATGTCGGCACTTATTATACAGGTCCATGTCCTGCTGCATGTCGGGCCAACTCAAGCTGTCACGACGGTGTTGCACCTCTTGAACCCGGCGCTTCGTCCCCGGCCAAGTTGTTTTCCATCATGAACCTCTTCGCATTGCTCTGGGCTTTGGCCTGGGCTGTTGCGAGTGTCTCGGCCTATGATCTATACGGAGGATATGAACGAATCATATACTATAACGCATACCGCAGTGGGTTGGCCGTCTTCCATCTCCCTCCACGTCCACCTTTTTGAGTCGCAAGAGGGCGAACTGACAAGTCACTGGCGTTATGTAGTGGACTGGGGCAAGACAGGAGGTGATACCAACCGAATGTCGGTCGGTAGTGGATGTGTCAGCAAAAAGGGAGCCAAAACGCCATGCGACCTCATCGAGTTTGTGGATTATATCAACGTCTGGTCGCCGTTGAACCAGGACAAGAGGCCGATTAAACTTCAAGGTTTGCCAGCCGGCTTTGATCCTCTCGATATGAAGCCGGCGCACGTCGACGCCGTAGCCAAGTCGCTCCGCAATGCCGGAGTGACGGGCGCGTATGACTGCGTCAAGGTTCACAAGGAGGTGAAAGGACGCAACGACGTTGATGGCCTTTTCGGAAAAATCGGCCAGTTTATTCAAGGCGCCCAACATGCCAACGGGGTTCCAGCCAACGCCGTCGAGAGCGCCAAGAACGCCGTGTCTGTGTGGGCCGATTTGCGCAAATGGGCACAGCAGCTCGCCTTTGCCGATTACCTCAAGAAGAAGTTCCCTGACGCTTTCAAAAACTATCAGCCCGCATTTAAGGACATCGGGGGTACTGGCGAGAAAGTTGAGACGCTCAACCCGAGGAGCGCCATCCCTGCCATCCGGGCGCTGCCCGGCCAGGAAAGATACAATGTCGCGAATGACTGGGAAGAATTCAAGGCCGCTGATCCCGGGCACTCGGAAAAGGTCGATTTGGCAGATAGGGTCAAGGGTGGGCTTTGTTGATGACTTGGTGGTGGACGTCCAGTCAGTTTGTGTACCGGAGGTAGACACTTAGAAATTCATGGTAAAAATTGAATCTGCTGCAGCGAAGCGGGAGCTCAAGGATGAATCAGAGGAATTTGAGACGGATGATGGGCCGTTTTCGGGACAGACTGTAGGGAATGTTTGACTGGCTTCGGGGAAGGATGCAAAATGCAGGTCCCAGGCGTGCCTCCCTGTACCCCGCCATACCATCGCTCTCTCCATGTTCGGCCACAATCTGGAACGTGTGCAGGAGGTACCGAAAGTTGCGCGCTTTGCAGAAGACGACACGTGGTCGGTTGCATTTACAAAACAACCAAGGCTGAATGGTGTGCTGACACTGCCACATCAGTGGAGTCGCCTAACCCACGGTGGTATTTGTTAAAATGGCCCAAAAGTACCTTACCCTTCACAAGGCAGACATGGGACCAACTTCATCAATTCCGTCATCGTAGCGAGGGTTACTCAACTTCTGCCCTCTGCCACCTGCGACTTTTTCAGGCTCCTTCCTCGGCGCACGTCTAAGAATCCAACCCGACACTCAAAACTCACAAGATGTCTACCAACGACCTCGACGCCCGGCTTGCGAAGCAGCATGTCGACATGGACTCGTGTGTCGCGGCGATGCGCGGTGAGCGGGTGCCGTGGGCGATTGGCAACCCGCTGATGCAGCTCTGTTTGGTGCGGGGCATTCGCTACCACGCGGGCTTCGGCGCCGAGGTGCGGTCCGCGACGCCGGTCCTTACGCGGGCGTGGAACGCACGACGCATCATGAGCAACGACGTGCCTGCTGTGGAGGATATGAGCGACCCGGATCACGTCCCCTACTGTATCTGGCATCCCGACGTTGCCAGTGAGTCCACGTACCGGACTCTTGCCCGGCGCTTCCCCCAGATGCGGTACCAAGTTGCCCGCGCGTGTGCTGTTGCTGGATATCTGGACCTGTACCGAGACCTCGACGTGTTGCCGGAAGTGCACGTAGCCGAGGAAGCCCGACACAATGGTAATCTCGACATTTTCAACGACATCATGTCCCAGCCCGTCAGATACTCGGTCATGGACGACTACTATCGCACCATCAACACAGCCAATCCCAAGACCGCCTATCTGAATGGTGATACGGCAGTTCGGTCTACGCTGGAGTGCAAACGCAAGATCGAGATGCCTGAAGATTTGAGAGATATCTTCGATTCCGATTTCTTGGATGGCGACGACGGCGAAGACGATGAGGAGCCGTATTATTCGCAACGCTTCAAGCCTGGTTATTTCAACATCACGGAAGATGGCTACATCGATACCCACAATGGCTACAGCCCGGAAAAGGAAATCTCAACAATGACCGAGTCGTCGACGGGGCCCGACCTGATATCCCCGTTGCTGTACTCGCCACTGCCTCAAGATCTCCCCGACGGGAACAAGGACGTCCTCATTCTCATGGCTGCTTACTACGGCGATATAGATCGCTACGCTCGCCTGCGCAGGCCTGTTGCAATCCGAAAGCAAATCGAATGCGTTGTGCGCGGCATATTTCACAACACGCTCTTTGCCAAGTGGTGGGCAGATCGACTAAAAGCAGCAGGCGATGATGAACCAGGCAAGAAGAGCCGCATCAGTCTAGATGGGATGGCGGAAGCATATATGCGGGGCATCCGCAAGGCCATCACGGCGCGCTTCATCATGAACAACGATCTTAGCCGCGTCACGTCGACCACGCCGGCCGACGAGCTGCCTTATTGTATCTGGTACCCGGGTCTCCCTACCGGCAGAGTACTGGAAGAGCTCGTCCGGCGCCGGCCCGAGATGCGACAGCAGGCTGCTCGGGCGTGCATTGTCGCCGGGGCTTTTGAGACGTTCAGAGGCCTGGATCCAGATCCCGACGCCGCACTCTTGGCCGAGGCCGAGAGGGTCGGCAATCCCGCCTTTGGCCAGTTTCTGCGCAACAAGATAGAGCAGGCCGGCCCCGACTTTGTTCTCCCGCGCTTTACCTTCGAGGACTGGAAGATGCTCACACGCGTCGAGATCCATGAGCCCATGCTATCCCCCTCGGTTCTTCACCGGGTGGTTGACGAGAAGTCGGTTGGCGTGGCAGTTTCGTTTCCCGGCATATACGAAGGCTTTGGGGTTGACACGGGCGTTCTGGAACTGAGTGTGGGCGCCAGAGACACAATGAAAGAGGGTGAGGAGAGTGTGGAGCTGGAAAAGCTGTATGGTCCCCCTTGATTGAACGTAGAGCTCCCAGCTAGTTGGATAATAAACGACCCTATGTCCAAGTTGTTTGTTTGCAGTGATTGCTATCTTCGTTTGTTGGGGCGTCAGGAAACAATGCGTTTGGGGAGTCTTTGTGCACCTCGCAAGACTGACCCCCTTCATGGCTCAGCCCCTGACTCCTAGATTTCATGACAACAACAGGGAGGGCTATCCAGGCCAAAAAAGAGGAGATCCAAACCATCTTGGAACTTTTGCAATGAGGTCCCATGGACCAAAAAGATACAACGACCTCGCTGGGGCTCGAACCCAGAACCTTTACCATCAGTGATACTGAACCGGAAAGTAACGCGCTACCATTGCGCCACGAAGCCAATGAATGTTAAGAGGTTTGCAAAGTGATCCCTTGAAGACCGGGACGCTCGGGCAAGTCTCGGGTTTGGGAAGAGGGCTATTACATCCGAGCGAGCCAGGGGTGGGGAATTCCGAAAGTTCTGGAAGGCAGTAGATTTGGTTATATCATTGGCCTGTCTGTGTGCAAACCGTTGAGGCTGTCGCTGATGGCGCATCAGATGGCGCAGCACGTGGGGAATTGGTGTCCATGAAGCCGGTGGAAGGAGCCACCTCATGGTTGAACCTTCCGGGCAGAGCGGCTGCGATAGGCGTTTCACAGCCGAGGATGATCCGGAACGTTGTCCGAAAAGCCCCCCCACAGGCACACAACTCAGATTGCACATATTTTGCCCGAGAAACCTGCCCCATTCTAGTCCTCAGAGGACTGCCATGCTTTTGCCGGGGCGCGCAATTAGACCACGGCGGCGACCACTGCGTCAGCATCGAGCAAATAGGCAAGATGGCCGAGAGCGACAGTAACCCCTACTTGCGCTTTGCCAACGGCGAGGCCAGCGCTGTTCGGTTCAAGGTTGACAACACCACGAGGAGGAAGTGGTGCGAACTGATAGGCGGTGAGCCAGCCAGTCTGTTTGGTGTTTTGTGTGGGGGGACTTGCCGCTAACCGACTCTTTCCTCTAGAGGTGACGAAGCACGCCGTGTGCTATCGCGGACGGGAACACAAGCGCAACAACGATGGAGCGCACGGATTCGACACGTCAGGTCGCTACAGCGTGGACGCGCCCGAACAAGAGGGGCTGGAGAACGGGACGCAGGAGAAAGAGGCGACAGAGCGCGACGACCAGCCAACCGATACGATAATGGAGGATATGCTTGAGACAATACCGCCTGCTTTTGAGAACAGCATCACGTATTTGACGTGGCGTCCCCACTCGGGCATTCCCAATTGGGTGATGGGTCTGCTAAAACAGCCTCCGGAGACGATCGAGGAAAATAGGGGCGACCCTAGCTTCCACAAATTTGGCTTACTACCAGGGGAGCTGCAAGACGAAGTTTACGCCGCATGCGTCGATCCGGTCGATATCTTCGCTGGCCGATTCAGTACTAGGGGGAGATGGACAGTTCTCACGCCACGGACTTGGGCGGATCTCCCTTTGCTCCATGTTTGTCGTCGATCCCGCACCCGCATGATCGACCAGTTCGGTATTCCGGACAGGGGCAACGTGCCCATCGATACGTCCGGCGACGTACTCAGCTTCGCGCCCTTTTACGATAGCTACTACTTAGCCGCCGGGGCGGATACTTCCCTCCCTTGGATTACACTTTCTGACGAGTTCATGGATGGTATCATTTCTCGTGTCCAGCACATGAAATTCGTTCTCGAGGTGGATCAATGTGATTTCAGGACCAGCCAAAGACTTTATGCCACCCAGCTTCGCCGCAGCTGTGGGTATGTCCTGACAGGTGCCGTGGAGCTTCGCAGCCTGACGATTGAGGTAGACCGCTACGACGATTGCGCGTGTCATCAAGACGAAGTTGATGGCCCGGTCTTGTCTGCTCGCCAGGCCAGATTTTTTATGGGCTATCTCATGACGATGGCAGACTTTCATCCTCAGATTGGGGTATGGAAACCGGCGCTACGCAATCTGAAGGCTTTGTACCTTTCGCGAAGGGACCCTGAGAATGTAGTCAGATGCGCAAAAGCATGTGAGCATCTGGCTCTCAAGAGAGAGAAGGAGTGGTATCCTCTAAGCAGCAAACGCATCGACGACTGCATTCGGTCTTTCCAGGCCCCATTTCACCGCCAGAGCAATACAACGGCGATCTGGAAGTGGTCGGAGTGGCCGCAAGAGGGGGATAGCCTTTTCCCTTTTGACAGCTTATGGACTGTGGCGACAGGCGCGGTATTGACCTCAGATAAGGCCAGGTTCACAGCCACAACGCATGCTCTGAGCATACGAGAGCGGGAATAGGCTGCATGAGCCGCGCGGAGTTGGGTGGATGGCATCGCTATAGCGCCGCGAGGGCAGCCGTATTCCTGAGAAGGTTGGAGTAGGATCTTTGTGATGTTTCCAGCAGATTGATCACTTGTCAGAGAAGGGGCGTTGGAGGCGTCCGGACTACCAAACTCTCAGCATTAGTATATAGAGTCAATTAATTCCTCGCTATTTCCATGGCAAGCCAGACATGTCTTCCCGGACCAACTGCACCGCCACGCCGATTGTTTTCAGCCACAATCTCCGGGTGGTGCAAAAATGCGGGTTTTCCCGGCCTCGAGAGCTCCGTGCCACCCGGCCATCGGCGCCCCACATGCCCAAATCGGAAGGTTGGGCATCACGACCGGTTGCTCGCTGGCATTCCCTCAGTTTCGATGGCATGTAATTCTTCTCTCCTATAGTGAGTACAAAAGGCGCCAGGAGGATCGACACATTGTTTTTTCCTTGTCCTTTCTCGTTTCGTTGCTTTGTCGCCGGCCAGATGTTTGTAGCACAGACCCGACGCGAAGCCCGAGCCCCACTTGACAACGGCCGCAGACGACAACGGTCAGTGGATCCCGTCCCCCCTCGACGACGACACGCGACGCGGCGTTGCTAAGAGGCTGCTGGGCGATGCATCCCAAGTGCTCGGCAACTCCCAAACTTGTCTTCCTTCTTCACCTGACGCCAAACTTTGGATCTCACCCCAAAAACGATCTCACCACAATAAGACTTTGGATCGATTCGATTCGTTGAACGGCAGCTTCTCTTCATTGTTCTGGTTCTTGCTCACACACTTTGAGCGTCACAACCCTGCTCTTATCTCGGACCCAGAATCCGCCATCATGGGGTGAGTCTTCGTCATCGCGCCTGAGCGGCCACCAGACCGCGATCATCATCAGAGCGATGGAGGGCTTGATCGTACTGACGCATTGAGCAGTTCTGGATCCCAAAAATCTGTTCTATCCGCTCGCGCGGCAGACGCAACCATTGTCACAAACGCGACTCTTCGCGATCATGGTGAGTGCTCTGCCACCCAAATCCCCGATCCCACTCCCTCTTTCAACCTCGACGTCGCTTGACATGAGAGCGAGCAGGAAACTCGAGACGAGCGCGACGCTAGCAATTGCTGACATGTTCCAGACTCCCAGGTTTCAAGTCGTAGCACGTTGCGCGCTTTGTATCGAGCCATCATGGAGATCCTCTTTGGCGTTGCCCAAATCTCCTGCCTCGCCTTCTGGAAGGCCAACAGGACTTCGGGTCCGAATGAGGCAGCCATCGATCAGTACCGTGCCCCAATTGCGTCCAAACCTCCAACCATTGGGGATCTGCCGTTCGAGCAGTCCACCCTCGACAACGATTTTTTCTGGCAGGCGCTTGGAGTCTCCGGCAGTCACAACTCGGAGCAGAACAGCGGCATTCTCGCGGCAGTCGTCAATCCCATCGGCAACGATGAGCCCATTATCACGGAGTCCGACGACGAGATGGAAGACAATACCGAGGTTATTCACATCACTGGATCAGTCCGATACGGCAAATGCCGCTCGCCCTTCCGAGCCGCGAGTCGAGGGAGCCTTTTCGGATCTAGATCTCGAGACGACGAGCGCATCAGCGACTCACTGCGTCGCCGCTATGCTTCTCTGCATGTGGTTGGAAATTCCCAAGGCCGCAACAACAGACTTGACTCGACTGCGACTGCTCCTAGCAGCGCGGTTACCGAGAACAAGCTCACTGCCGTTACTATCGCTGCCGACACTGCTGAGCAGCCCGAGACCCAGATCGTTCACGTTTCATCCGTGACCCCTCCGAGTTTCATTCGGCTTGATCAAATCCCGAGCGAAGACGGCTACCCAACCATCGACTCTGTCCTAGATGGACTACCCCCTCCGTCAGGCGACACCATCATGCACAAGGCTGCTGATGAGCATGACGACCTCGCCAATGCCTTCTCGTACTGCCCAGTCCTGGACCAGTACCTCCCAGCCGACCATGCGGACGACATTATCACGCACATCTATTGCCCAGTCCTCAACAAATATCTCCCCGTTGATAACGATACCAACTCCGATCACTCCAGCGTCAGGACTCTTGAGTCCGAGCCCGAGAGCAAGCCGGCTCGCTCCTCCTGGAAGCCCCCGGTTACCCACCATAGCCAAGCCCTCGTCATCGTCAACGACTCCAGCGACGACGAGTTCGAGCCAGAGTACATCCCAGGATCCTACCGCAACGGCTACGACTCCGCCGATGACGACTCTCTCTTTACTGGTATCCTCCCGGTTTAGGGAATCGAGAGAACCTTTGAGATCCCCGGAAGAAGCGACGTAGTCTGGGGCCTCGGCAGCGATGGTACCCTTGCCTGGCTTGACGCTGAATCGAATGAGCATTTCCGCACCATGGATGGAGTTGAGCAAGCCGCCTTTGAGAATATATACCCGGATTGGCGGACTGCGGAGTACAAAGAGCCTTTTGTTGGGGCGCCGATCGAGTATTCTGCTCCCAAGATGATCGACGGTGGTGTTCAAGTTGGCGACGAGAGCCGTACAGGATCTCGTTCTGAGGGCGAAGATGTTGTTGTTGCTCCGCAGATTCTTCTCACGGATGTCGCTCATGATGAAGACCAGCCCAAGCGCATCCCCCAACCTCTCACCGCAGATTCCGATCTTGACGACTCTGAGTCCGAGAGCGAAGAGGACGAGTCGGGCTCTGAGTCTGAGGATTCCACCAAGTTTCTGCATGCCGGCGTTGCTACTCAGCTTCAGACGACTCCCGAGCTTGAGATCATATTTGAGCGCGATTCCGATGAAAGCGACAACAACGGGCAGTCCCACAATGGGGGAGGCAACTCCTCTCGGTTTTTCTTTGGCCCTGAGGAATCCGACTCCGATTCCGACGAAGACACCTCCGATGACGAGTCAGAATACAGCCTCGACTCCGACTATGACCCGCCTACAGGCATCATGGCTACCCCTTGGGCGCGCCACAGCTTCATCGATGCCAGCGGGCACATGGACACCCACAAGAACGTCAGGGAGCAACGCGGAATGGCT